GGAAGGCTGCATGACAGGCAGATTTATTTTGATGCCACGGAGTAGCAGTAAAGGTGAAGATCAGATGGGATGGGCTTTAGCCTACAGCCATCAAAAGAAGCAAACACACCTGACACACATAAGAAACCCACCCGTCACCCCGATGCCTGAACATCAAACTTACTTCACAGAACTGGGGCGGGCAAACTTTCTACTACTGACCAAAAGGAAAAGAACTGTGACATAACGCACAGCTACAGAAACTCCCTCCCTCCGTGGGTCTGCATTCCGTGCATTCAAGTAATTTGAACCCAAAGTACAGAACACCCAAATGGTGACACTGGGGGATGGGTTTAGCAACGGTGGAAAATCCAGAGCACAGGAGTCTATAGGCGGACGAGTTAGAATTGAGTGAACACATTCAGAATCATCCTTGATTTTTAAAATGCAAAGTTTTTATTTGAGACAACAGCATTTAACCCTGATTCAGTCTATCTGAAAACACAACTGATATTGCTCTAATTTGAAGATCTTGATGGTATGTACTCTGCTTGATTTTTAAAGATTCCAACTTAAGACAAGATTGGTTTGCAAATAAGAACAGGTACTTTTGGGGATTATGGAAAAGTTTCACTCAATTCCAGGCATCGAAGCTCTTTGAGGACACGTAGAAGCCGTTTCGGCATGACTTCACTGTGCCTCCTCTGAGTCTGGATTTCCTCCCAGGAGAGCATTTACCTTGAACGTGAAACCCGGCCTGTGAGGTGTCTCTGTCTCTACCCCACCTCCCTGCACTAGCTCTAAGAACGTAAATTTTCAAAGCTTTTCAAAGATGCTTTTCTTACCTGACCCAGAAAATAAATTCCTCCACCTACTACAAAAGCGGAAATTGCTGTACCAAAAACAGCAAACAAGGTGATGGAACCAATATTTTGAAAGAAGTTACCCTGTTTAAAAGAGCAGAAATGAGAGAAATGATTAGAAAAGCTGGTCCGGTTGGTGAAGGTGAAGACCCCCCCACCACCACCACCTAGCCCTCCTCACACGCTTGATCCTCTGTGCGGGGCACCATCGCCCACCCTGCTTGGCAAGCTGGAAATGTGGGCGTCTTTCCTCACCCCACACCTAATACAGAGCCTAGTCCTGTGGGTTTTACCTTCCCCATCTCACTCACGTCTCCCTACTTCCGTCCAGCACCATCCCTAGCGCCCCTGCCCAAGTTGCCACCATCTCTCCCCAGGTCCACTGCAATGGCTTCTAACAAGTCTCAACCATGGCCCCTTGACCTCCATGCTTCAAGAGCTCCCAGAATGATCTTTGCAAAAGTCAAACCGCATTGTTCTGCCTTCACTCTGACTCCCCTTGAAATGCAGCTAAATCCAGTCGAAGCCTGGACTGTTGGACCCCTGTGAAGCCCCTAACCTCCCCTTTGTTCTCCGCGTGCCTGTCACACTGGTGGCTTTTGTTCTTCAAACGTGTCTGCTCCCTGGACCAAGGGGAAGCACCAAGCTTCTTCCTTCCCCTTTGCTTGTTTAACTCTAATCATCTTTGGATCTCAGGACATTTTGACTCTTCCTGAGGGAAGCCTTCTCTGATCCCTTAGCCAGGTCAGATCCTCTTCTATTCTCTCAATGCACGATGACCCTCTCCTGGGAGCACTTGACATGGCTGAAATCTTACATTTACTTATGTAACTATCTGACTGATGCCTGTCTTTCTCACTAGGCTGCAGGCTCAATGGGGGCAGTGGCCACATCTGCTTTCGTACATCACTGACATAATGCCTGTCAGATGCAAGATGGCCAATGAATAGGTACCAAAGGAATTAATGGTGTTTCATGTCTGATCAAAGTCCAAGCTTTATACAATTACAAGTTTTCATTTAATTAAAAAAAGGTGCATTAGTAGGTTATGTTATCAGAAACTCCTTTTTGCGGTCCAGGTCTTTTAAACAATTTTATTTCACACTATTTGTATCATCATCAAATATAAATATGACAGATAAAATATATTTCCATCTATACTTTACAGCATTAAAGAGGAAATATTTGAGTCCAAGTGACAGGGTAACATTTTTCAAATTTCTATAACATTACAAAAATGAGCTATTTATTAGAATCCTGTGGACTCCACTTGGGAACAACACCAGGGAACCCTGACAACCCTTGACTGAGAGTGGGGACAAGGAATCCCATCTTTTCGCTCAGAAACTGTCAAGCCACAGACAACAGGAACTGACATTTTAAAGCTCACTTCAAAAGGGTGTCTGTCCTCAGCTCCACCTTGACAGCTCACTTAATCCTCCCCCCTTCAGGAAGTGTCTTTGCTTCCTTCATTGCAATTTTGACTTGGCTGCCCATAATCTGACATCTAATTGCTTTGCTTGGCATATCAATCTTGAGTGCACAAAGAACTTTAAAATAACTCCAGGTGGGCCGGCCGAGTGGCTTGTTGGTTAAGAGCTGGCTTGGGATGCCAGAGGGCCCTGGTTCGGATCCCACATATGAGGGCCAGTGACACTGCCCTCCACAGCTAAGA